TCTTAAGCAATAAAATTCAAATTTCCAATCAAAATATATGAAAAATGTTTAATACCACTGGATAACAAAGAAAATTAAAACACTGATGAAATATCATTTTTGTTGTGTTTAAATTGGCAAAGATTCAAATAATAATAATGTCAAGTATTGACTAGGGTAACTGGAAACTCTCATATATTGTTAGTGCAAATATAAATATAAACACTTCCTGGGGAGACATTTAGAAATACTAACAAAAAGTCTTTAAGAGTTGCCATTTGACTAATTTTTTAAGAAGCAACTTAAAAAACTAATCTAAACAGCTTAGATTTCATGTTGGCTCCTCAAACATTTTGGATGTAGGAACTTAAGCAAGGCCAGACAAGTCAGATCATTGACTTTTCATTATCCTGCATTCTAAACAGAGGCATAGACTTTTTATTTGCTTCTTCTTAGGAGTTGTATTTTTTTTAAACAGTGACTCTAGGTACAGAGAACCTGTTTTATCAATGATTATGATTTCCTTTGATTCACTGCTGTGTTGATTGCTTAAAACTAGTTGCTGTATGTATAATCCTTATGAAAATATTTTTGAAAATCTGAGGTAAAACAGAACCAAACAAAATAACTGGTATTCCCAACTACTGAATCACCTGCTAAGTTATTTATAGGGAGTTTTTGCAGATGAAAAAAATGTAGCTAAGATGTGTAAATGGCATTTACCTCTCTTAACACTTGACTAATGATTGTTTCATTATACCTTAATGGAAATAATCCAGGACCTTAAGTTTATAATTTTGTTAAAATAATGATATGTATTAAGTGAGGTTTTTAAAGTATATTCAGTTGCTCTAGTTACTGAATTATTGATAAATGAATTACTCTGCTCTCTAATGACTGCCAAAAATAATGACTATTAAAGAAAGACTTAGCAACATAAAGGTCTCAAAATTAAATCTGAAAAAAGATGTTTTCTTCAAAGGCAAGAAAAATAATTTATAATCACTTTATTTTTCAAAATACATATGAAACAGTAAAGTTATATTTCAAGTGCTTTCCCTTTTTCTTTTACAAAAGTAATCTCATAAATTGTACACTTCACAACAGCTTTGAGGTTTCATTGTTACATAATTCATCTGAACCTAACAAATATGTTCACACATTTTAAAGAAAACATTGTAAAAATACTGAAATGTGTAACATCTTTTAAAGGTGGTTGCAAAATATTTGTTCTAAGTAATACAATTATATGCTGTCAAATTTCACAAATGGCTGGTTACCATGTACAAAAGCCAGAAACATGAATTTCAAAAGGTTAAAAAAAATTTGTTCTATAATACAGAAGTCAAATATTTTGATTTGAACAAAGGCTACATATTATATCACAAACTTCAGTTAAAAAGCCACCTAATGAACAATGACTGAAGGATACAAAAAAAGTCAAATATGATGGATCCAAATTATTCAATGTCATGTATGAAATGAAGAATTTTCATGTATTCTGCCAGTTTAGAATAACTGGCAAACATCTTGGAATATTCATTAGTGGAATCATCATATTTACAGTGTGAGATATTTCTATTTGACTTCTTCATTCTTCAATGAGGATCTCATTTCATGTGTTCCATAATTTATCTATATTTTGCAGATGAACCCAATAATTTATCTCAATTGGAAGGGTCAATAAAAAGTTAATGACATAAACTTGAGTTGGACTTTTTGTTTATAAAAAAGTATAAATGTAAATATTTTGTATATATAATTGAAATCCACCATCCTGTACAGTAAATAGGGATCCTGTGCATAGCAGATGCAAATCACAACAAAATTTCTGAAGACAATGATCTATTTTTACCCTTTTATGAAAAAATCAGGCATACTTTGTTCTTTGCAGAGGGTATTCATGACCCAGTTGAGCTTCAAAGAAATCATCATCGTCAGTTTGAGATTAAAACATTTCCATATAAATACTATCTGCCGCTTTAGATCCATTAATGGCAAGTCATTTCCAGTGTTTCAGAAGAGATAAAAATAGGACTATTGTAATCAATTCTCCTTATAGAAGTGTATTTAAATCATTTCAAGCATGAAGAAACCTATCTTTTCTCATATATAGCTTCTACTTATTTTTTCAATCACTATTTCTAATATCCAAAATGTTTGCATTCAATAAACCTTTAAGTCCCACCTCAGCCCTTAATTTAATGCTTTCTTTTTAAGGTCTCTACAGCATGATATTATCATGCTATTAAGTCAAACCCTGGTTACCAATCTTCATAATGAACAGGGTGGAAATAAAAACAATTTCTTGCTTTGATGAGAAAACCTTTGAACTGAATACTAATTAATTGCCATTGTTCAAATGCACATCCTTTTGGTTAACTGTAATTGCCAGATTACAGGTATTACCAATGCATCTTTAACTAAATTTCTGTTCACTTTAATATAAGATTGAACAAATATAGGAAGTCTTTTAATGAAATAGAAAATTCTTACCTTAAAGAGTATCACTGAATAACATATTGGAAACATTTAGTTTAATTAACTCTCTTTCCCATATAAAATAAAAACTCACTAGTTTCTTTTAAATAATGGGTCTTAGTAGGTTCAGATGAATCACATCCTGAGCCATATCATTGAGTAACTATTAAAATGCTATGTAATGGGTTTTTTGAACAGTGTTAGAGAATTTACTTTCTCCTAAAAGTTAAAATACAAAGGTGTTTTTTGATTTTGCATTCAATATCTTTATTTCCATTTGCTTTAACATCTGCATTTAACTGCCATTTAGTTATATAGATTCTTAATTTAAATTATTTTACTTTCCATGCTTTTGTATCATTTATTTTTGGCAGCCTACAAACTACAAAATTTAAATCAATTAAAGTACATCAGAACAACCAGAGCTGCTTCAAGAACAGATTTAGTTGGAAGATGAATGATTTTCTTAAATCCTCATCACCTCTAGTTTTCTTTCTTTCATTTTTTAAAATTATCAAGTAATTAAATTACTTGGTCATAATTGCAACTAAAGTGGCAAAAAAATCATATGGAAATCCATTCCATGAAAATATGTCTGAGATGATATCAAATATTGTTTTTAAAGAGGTAAAGAAATAACAGTGTTTTCAATGTTAAGATTTTGTGTCCCTTTATTTGCAATAGTCTCTGGCTCTTTTGAAAACTCATTCTGAAATGAGTTATATTTTGTTTCATGGACAGTAAAAGTTGAGAAAGAAGTGAAAGGTTGGATTTTTCATTTTTGAAGCAATTAATCATTAAATTAAAGGCTTAAGAGGCTGATAGTTTTTTATTGCATTTGCAATTTTAAAATAACAGACATTACAGAAGAATAAAGACAGGTGTCAATTAAATATCACAACCAAGTAGGTTCAAATATATTTTGCTTTTATCTAATACCTGAGTCAGTAGCAATCAGTTGTGAGCTCCCTTCAGTAACTAGAACATACAATCACTCCCAAAAACTGCATAAGAAAGTGTGTGCTTGGTTCTGTGTTCCCATCTCTAGTTCCCTGGCACTAGTCCTGATGATATTTTTTAACTGAACTATGAATGTATTAACATCATAAGTTTTATATGTAAAATAAAGTACCAGAAACAGGGCTGGTCTGACAAAAAAATTAAAATTGTCCATAAAAGTATTAAGAAACCAGGGTAAAGAAAAGAATCAGCTGTTCAGATTTTTGTGAGAAGATTATATACTCCACAAACATTAATATTTTGTCATACTCAATTTCTTCATTCACCTGATTACTTAGTGAATCAGGTAAAATAAATAAATAAATAAACAAAACAAGAAACAAAACCAAAAAGAACATCAGTGTTGTTATGCTAATTAATCAACACTTGTTCCTTTTTCTTAGACTTATGTTTGGCAAGTCCCTGAATAAGTCCCTGGAATTAGGTATTCATTATATACTTAAATTGTAACTTCATAATGTGTCAGTGCTGTCATTAAAATGTGGTGTTCCACACAAATTAGTGGAGGATATCTGTAACGTCAAACCTTATTTTAAATATTGAAATGAAAAACATTCCATCTTCAACCACAGGTAGAAAGAGGATAAGTTATGTTTGTATGGATGCACGACTGTGAAGAGTGATGGTGTATTGTATTGAAAATGGTAGAATTACATTTTTATAATATGAACTACCATTTTAAATGATGTATGAAATCTGAGTTATTAATTTTCTCTCCTTAATCTCTCAAAGATTAATAAATGCTCAGTCATGGTGAGTTTATTCTAATCCCTAGGAAACATTAAAAAAAAATTACCTTAAACATTTAATCTACAATAGCCATATTAACGTCTCCTGTTTGGCTGATTGTTTGCATTTTTCATCATAAACATTGACTTTATCTCCATAAGAGGCAAAGAGAAGCATGAATATAAAGCTCTTAAAATATATTTCCAGGTGAAAATAATTATACTAAGGAAATAGAGTTGCTAATTAATTGTAAGTTGCAGCAATACCTATAAACAATTGTCTCTAAATATGTTATTTCACTGAGTCTTCCTATTTGATAATTTTATTTTCCAGTAAAACAAAGACTTACAAAATGGAAGTGTCATCCTCATTCTGTCTATAGCAAGTGGTTATTTTAGGCTTGATAAGGTAACCAGGTATGTCCAACAGGTTTCTTTAGTTATTTTAAATTAGAAAATGTTAACCAGGAATACTTGTTTTCATTAAGATGGCACAAGCATTTTTGAAAAATTTTAGGGAACTGCGTTTGACTTTAAAATGTTAACGTGTAAAATAGTTACATCTTAATTAATAGTAATACCATCATAGGAGAGATGCCAACATACAAAATTTCAAGATTTTTGAAACTTTGTATTTTTTAATATTTAAAAATAAAGGATTTTACTAAAATCAAAACTTTGTAATTGCTGATAAAATTTTCTCATTCTGATGAATATGTTTTTATAGGCTACCTGCAGATTTTCTTGCTTTTCAGTTTTTTTGCCGGGTGGGGTTTAACCTTCTCTCTTGGGATAAGTTTGAAATATGCACTGTCCATGGTACACATCTCAAAAGTAAGGTTGGGGGCCATTCATTATAGATATATTCCAATAGGGCCCAGAAACAAGACAATAAAAAGTTGACATGATTTAAAGGAAAGTTCTGTCATGTAAAAACATTTGCAGAGTTTTTACGACTAGTGACCTGATCCTTGATCCTTATGAAGGCAAATGCCTTTCACAAAAGACTGTGGGTCTGGGCCTTAAGAATTATTTATTTATATTAAATGTTCAAGTTGTATTATTTATGGTATAGTTTTATAATTTTCTGAAAAATGTCATTTTTTTCTTTAAGAAAATACCCACTTCTAAAAATTACTTCTGTTTGAGTTTAAAAGTCACCATTACTGTGTACAATCCAAACCACAATGAGCACAGACATTTATTGTACCTTTGGTGTCAGTATGCCTATCAGAAATACAGGATCTATGTGATAGCTTTATGTCACAAAATAAACATGTCACAGTACTTGAGAACCTTATGAAGACTCATGAGTTCTGATTCTATTCACTTAGGAATACTAATGCTACATTTGAGATTAAGAGTAATAGAATTTTTAAAATATGAGTTAAATAGTGCTACAGATGTTTGAACTAATGTAACTTTAAGACAATAGAAAATAGTAGCCCAAATAGCTCAATCTCCATTTTCCAGCTACTAAATATTACTTCTTAAGTTTACACTCAAAGAGTTCTTCAAATTACAGTTTTGTTTCTCTATATATTAAAGAACAAGCTTGAAAGAAAAAGTTTTGAGTTTAGCAGAGCCAAATTTCACCAAGAAAAGATTTTGTTGAGAATGAAAGAATATATTATCAGATAAGTAATATTAATTTGATTATTCAAGGATTTAATGTTGTGAGTAAAGTTCAGAATTTCCCTTAAAGTGTATATAGAAACATGTGCACAACTAGAAATGAACATAGTTTTAATAAAGTCCAAACCATACATATTCGACATGTGCTTCTTTATACAATAGCAGCATTAACTATTTAATTTTAGATAAGTATGGATTATTTTCAAAAAATGTATTCTTTACTTATGCAAAGAATTTACAACTCAGTGAAAACATTCTTTGTGCTAATTGGCATATGACACAAAGAATAAAAAGCCTTATGTAAGGACCATTTGTATTCAAGTAAAATACATCAAGATGTCCAAAGTTAATAAACAGACAAAAAAGGTAAATAAAAATTGCACATAATTTGTTCATTATCAGGATATATTTTAAATAAGATCAAATCTTCCACTTTTTTTTTTTTTTGATCTAATGAGTACACGGTCCTGGGTCCTTATTATAATGGTCTTATTTTGAAAGCATTATGGTGTGGAAGGTGGTTTGGGAGATGGACAGGATCCTTGACTGTCAAAACTGGTTGCCCGGCCAGGTAACTGAAAGATAATAATTTCATAATATATGATCTAGTGTAAAAAATAATAAAGTGGGTAATTGTTGTTACCTTTTAATAGTGAGTATTCACCCCTGATATGCAAGCCTCTGAAGAGAAGATATACATAACTCCCCACACCTTTCAGAACTCACCTTCTCAGGTATCATGAGGGGACACAAACATCTAACAGAGATGTAGGTAGAGCATGGTACATAGATGGCATGCAGATCAATTGCAGATTCATTTCACATTCTATCACAGGCTTTTAGTTCTTATTGTAAAATAACTAATGGTTTACTACAGTCGGGGGCAATTGCTGGGTAAGAACAAGAAGGTTCAAGACACAAGAGACTGCATTCCACTTGCTCTAAGGCAGGAGGTGATTTTTACAGGAGCAATTAATGAGATGAGAAGGACTGAGAAAATGGGAGCCACGAGTGATAAAGAATAATTTCTCATGGCCTTTAAATATTATGTGTATTTTAAAAGTTTAATTACAACAGAATAAACTTTTGTATCTAGGTACATGTAGCCAGATTTTCCAAGTGATGCTTTAGTCTCCTCTTACCAACTTACTCAGCTCTTGAATAATTGTTCCCTTCTCATTTTAATCCCTGCTGTGGCAACAAAACATAATTACACATGTACCACATGTACACTTTCCCACAATTCAAAATCCAGCCAGTTGTTAGGTCTCCAGTCCCTATGTTCTGTTTGATCAGTGAATGTAGGTACAGGAGTTGGAAAAAAAGAAGCTATTTGCTAGAGAAAGTATATTTACATAATCTTTTTGGCCCACTTGTCCTCTGATAGTCAGCTGCTAGAAAAATATATCTGGGATATTCTTCTGAGACCCATATTGTAGCTTATTCTTCCTATATATTCTACGATGACTGAAAAATATTCACAAGTTCTCAGACACAAACACATGCTTATTTCATAGCTCATCTTCATCATATAAATGTATAACTTCTTATTAAACAGTCATAAGTATAATATGCCTTGGGTCATACAACATCTGTCCTTTCATTAGTTAAAAGTTGTTGGTCACATTATCTCACTTCTCCCTATATCATTCCTATGAACTCTGTAGGGGTGGGCATTTCTATTTTCATTAAATATGGGAGAATGTATCTGCAGACAGAGTACGTGGTCTGCCTAGGATTAGACAGCCAGAGGAGCAAGGGTTAGAATCCATGTCTCCCTTCAGTGTGGTTCTCTGCCCAGAAAAATTTACTCTCATGTCTAGATTCTTAGATTTAATATTCACTTTTCAAACTTTACATGAAAACAAAGATGAGAATCAGGAAAACGATAGTAAAGCAGTAGAGTATACTTTAGACAATACATATTGTTGAAATGAAACAACCTTCTCAGGACTCGTTGAGCTATTACTTAGGGGAAAGTGCTGTGTGAATGTGTATTTGCATGTCTGTCTGTCTTTTATGATTTACATTAAATGATGAAGTGAGGTAAAGATTTGGAACATTAATATAATAAAGCATATATCTTATCTATGGTGACAGTTCACCTCTGTTGTCTGAGCATGTGCTGTTTATACAGTGTTCATCGAATTTTCCCTATAGAGTATTGAGTAACACAGCTAAGGTCACATTTTTGTGACTAAGCTGAGCTTAGAACCAGGGCTCACTGACATTTAATTACACTGCTCTGTGTCTCCTATTCAACCCTGTGCTTAGTGACAGAACAAGAAGCAGAATCTTATCGATGGGAGAGATGGCAATGTATCCTTCACTTACTATGTGGCTATCATAACTTTTTATTAAATTGCATAAATTCCACCCTCTACCATACATCCTTTTATCAGCCTGCATTACCTCTCAGTTAATCAGGTCATATAAATGATTTATTTTGAGACTCTTCGAGAAACTCCTGCAGTCTCTGACAACTGTCTTCATGGCTAAAAATCCTGATAGAAACTGGTATTGATACTTCTTCTGGTTAATATAACTATTAATATTAGTTATAATTAGAGCAAACACTGTGCCATACTCTGTACTAAGCACTTAACATTCAGCAGTTTATTTAGTTTTACTCTATGAGTTTACTGCTATTACAGAGTGCAATATGTAGTCACACAGCAGAGCCAGGCTTTCAACTCAGGCAAAAAATATTTTTAAAAATCTGTGAGCCCTTTTACTTCCTGACCAGAGTCAGTGGATGTATATCTGTCCCCTTACATAGATGAGCTGTATTAGGTGATAGTACCCCTATTTAGGGATTCTGGAGTTTAGGTGAGGTAACTGTTTTCACAAAAGAGAAGCAGGAAAATTCAGTTTCCAGTTAGTAATGAATTTACTTGATTGCTCCACCACTCACTGATATAAGTTTTCAGACAATGCAAAGAAAATAATAGGCTTTCAGTTTTTATGGGCTTACTGTAAAGGAATATCAAACTCAGAAAGTTTAGTGGTTTTTAAAAACCAACAAGGCACACAGAACTTTTCATACTGGATGATAGAGTCTGTGGGACAAAAGCAAGAACAATATGTATTTTAAAAAATAGGTGAATATATAAAACATTAGTGAAGTGTTAGCAGATAAATAATATTTAAGCAAGAGATAAAGAAGAGAGTAGATGTGAGAGAGTCCCAGAGCTTACCTCCAGCAAGGGGTGCCAATGTGTTATTGGTTTTCGGTGATAGGCCAGCATTTCATTCCAGTGGTCTCGCCCAAGACCCTCAGCGTCCAGTCCGGTTCTACACACTCCTATGACTTCATTGTGTCCTACCCTATGATTCGGAGAATATTTTGCTTTCATTCCAACATTCAAAGATAAGTTTCACACACCTTAAACAGAATTTTAAACTTATGATTAAAAGAGTAGATTTTGTGGTAAGTTCTAGATAATTTTACATATTAAACTACTTCAGATCAAATGAAAAGCCTTAAGTAGGCTAAAATTTACTAAACAGGATCAGCATTCAAAAATGAATCTGTAAAAGGATCACACACAAACCATTTTAGTGCTCTGTAAATTGAGAACATTTCACAATAATAAGAATAGTGTGAATGAGAAATGCAGCTGGTCCTTACCTACATGATGAGTTTCTTTCTTGGTAGCAGACCTATTAACTTTAAGTGATGTAACTCTAATCTTCTTTCCAAAAGGTTTGATGTTTTATAATGATGCCTACATTTCTTACCAAGAGCTCAATACCCACTTTCTTGTATAAATGACCATAATTAATTGATTCTAAATGATATGTCAGTGAACATTACTGCTTGTATTACAATTAAAAAGGGCAGGGCTACATTTTGAACCATGTCATTTGACTTATTATTGCATGGTACCAGAGCATACTGAACAACATTCTTATTTTCTATTCATACCTTGTTTTCATAGCAACAAATCAAAATAATAATGATATTAATATTTTTGAGAGCTTGTTATGTGCCAGACACTGTTCTAAGTAATTTAAATGTACTGACTCACTTAATCCTGACACCATGACCATGAATATCATTATCATCATCTCAGTTTACAGACAAAGAAATTAAACACCCAGAAGTTAAGGGACCTGCCTGCCTTTGTACACTTAGTAAGAGACAGAGGCAGGACTTGAATCAAGACAGTTGACTCAAGCATACATATGGTAAGCTGCTTTTCAAGAATGAAATGGAATTTAAAGGCATTTTCTTGAGGATTATTTTGACATACATCTATCTATAAGGAAAGTTTTAAGATGATTTTAGGACATTTCATTACTTTCTTCCTGTCACTGATGTATTAATAGATATGTAGGCTTAGTATCTTTTCTTTTAATATGAAGATTTCCCAAAAAAGCATATTTTAGAAATAACTTTTAATCTTTCTATTTTATATATTGTCAGGGTCCATTTCCCTAAAATTATTTGGGTGACAAATGCTCAATTGTATTTATCTGCAATCTATGCTGTGAGAAATCAATAGGAGTAATTTTTTGGTAAAGCAGAATAAGGGCTTCTGATGAAAACATTACTTTTTTTTTTTTTTTTTTTTTTTTTTTTTTTTTGCTGTATGCGGGCCTCTCACTGCTGTGGCCTCTCCCGTTGCGGAGCACAGACTCCGGACGCGCAGGCTCAGCGGCCATGGCTCACGGGCCCAGCCGCTCCGCGGCATGTGGGATCTTCCCAGACCGGGGCACGAACCCATGTCCCCTGCATCGGCAGGCGGACTCTCAACCACTGCGCCACCAGGGAAGCCCCAAAACATTACATTTTTAAAGTTTGCCATTTTAACTAATTCAAGATCTCTCTCTCTCTCTCTTTAAATTGTGTCAACTTGTTTTGTAAACTGTGATATAAACTAATTTCAAATAGATGGTATAAATCATCGTATTTTTCAGCACTTCATTTTTCTAGCTCTCATCCAGAGGATACCATTTTTAATGTCTCTATGTTATAGGGTCTTGGTTACTGCCATTTGCATAATGATATAAAATAGACACTCTTTGAATATTTGTGTATGTGTATTCTGTCCCACTTGTGTTATCATTAGAACAAAATAAGACATTGCCTATGTGCTGATAATTTTGTAGGTTAAACATACAGAATTCCTTTCTGAAAGTCTTATAAATATAAAAAGCAAAACAATAAAAAGAAGTATATAGCAAGGATCAAATAAGATATATAAACCTTTAGTGGGACAAAAGTTCATAGGGAGAAGAGATTGGTTAGCCAAGAAAGACAGAAGTGGTGCCTTGAGCAGGGCTGTAAAGCATGGGTGAAATGAGATACACAGGTATCTCGTGTAAATGAGATATCTCGCATACACGAGATACCTGTATCTGAAATGTTGATACAGGGCAACATTTCAGAAAAGAAAGGAGTGGGTGCTGCAGCAGGAAGAAGCTTCAGAGCTTCACTTGGGAATTTGCCATTTATTTTGTGAAAGGAGAAGTAATCAAAGTGTGTGAACTGGAAGAACTATCCACAAAGCAGTGATTTAAGACTGGTGTGAAAGCCTCAAGGCATAACGCTATGGACACTATTCACCTTCCACTGTTAATACTCACTGCTCACAGCTGCACATTACACTGATGTTTTACAAATGGAAAAGTGAATTTCTAAGAGATAACTTGCCCTTTCACAGTGCTAGTTAATGATAGAGCTCAGTATCATGATATTCATATTCCAGCCCAGCTTGGAAAGCAAAATACGTTGATTGTAATTTATGTTGTTACTGTAAAAAGTCTTCACAAAAGTGCTTCCTATAATGTATCCCATTCTTTCACCATCTGCAGGTATCCTGTCCTTCTAATTAAGAATGATGTCTTTTGGAAAAGATAAAGGATAAATAATAACATAGAATAAAATTAATTTTGAATGAATAATTTTTATTCATTCCAGTTTAAATTAAAACTCTTGTAGAAGTAAATAACCTGAAAAGTTGAATTTGGTCTGCATATGACTAAATGTAGCTGTTATTCAGTGAGTATAGGGATGAACGTACCTGTCATAATCCATGACTGCAATGGAGAGGCTGACCTGGTCCACATTCTCCGGAGGGATATCAAAAATAATGGCCTCATTGTACACAGGGTTTAGAGTGTTTTTCTTTGTAGTCGTTTTCCTCTTTTTTAATCTTCGACCCTCACACATCAGAGACACTTTGACATAAGGATCTATCACGGGAAGGCAATTTTATTAAAATGAAAGTAATAGTACAAAGCATAAATAAAACTGTGGTTAATTGCTACTAAATAAGAAAAGTAGTATATTAAGCCCTTTAGTGTTACCGGTTTTAAATTCAAATGGCATAATTGGGGACAATAGACTCTCTAGGACTTCTTGCTGACTGGACTAGAAAAGAATTAACTTGATCACTGTGTTTAATACAACAGAGAAAACTCAGTAGTTTATCAAGAGCCAGTCTAAACTATAATGTGTCTTTTAGTCACAGCTATTTGAGGACATGTTTTGTCCCAAGTGATTTCTAGGGAATGTAATCCTAACAAGTAAAAATAATTGTATTAAAATTAATTTCCTTCAAAATGATTTAGAATAAGAAGGCTAAAACTTATGAAAGAGCAACACTGTGTCTAGATAAGTATATACAATCACAGTGAATTGAAATTAGCAAAAACTATGTGGGAATTGTCTTGAATTGTTGGAAAAGGTACTAATCTTAGAGGTTCCATTTTAGTCATAGTGCTTGATAAAGAGTTTGGATTGAAGAAATGATCACTACAAATCATTTATTAAATGCTCAACAGTATACAATGAAAAGGTGATATTTGGTTTACAGATGTTCTCAGGGAAGTTTCCTCATATGAATTGTCTGTATAATGTCAACTGGAAAGGTAAAATTTTAGTTGGGCTATATTTTTATGGGCCAAAGAGGTCAAATAATTGTTAACAAGTTCTGCCCTAGCTGACTGATCTCTACGTTCTTACCCCTGCCACCTTAAGTAGAAAAACTGTTACAATATTATAGAAAATTATACAATATTTATCAAAAGTTTCTTTAAAAAGCCTTACTTTTTGTATCTTTTTATAAAAAGGAGGCATGGTTTTGGGAGAGGGTATTGGCATTGGGGTGAGTATGCTAGGTGGTCAAAACAATCAGTGTCTGCTCTACCTTCATTTTTTTTTCATTATAGTTACCCTCTAACTGTAGCACCACAACCATTTTTTCTCTCTTTCCATCAATTTAACAAAGTAACAAAACTTATTTCCTTAGAATAAGCCAAAAACATGGCAACATTAATTTATTTGAGCAAATGAATGAAATGGATGATTTTTAGGCTCTAGAAAAATGTCTCTGTATATTTCATAAGCATTTGTATCAAGGGGAAAGGACACATTTTATGGCTGGAAATAGGGTATATAGAGGAAAACAAGGTAAAAAGGAAATGTTCAATGACTGTTTCCTATTTAGTTATTTATTTAACTTTTAATTTTATATTGGAGTACAGTTGATTAACAATGTTGTGTTAGTTTCAGGTGTACAGCAAAGTGATTCACTTATACGTATACCTGTATCTACTCTTTTACAAATTCTTTTCCCATTTAGGTGTCCCATAATATTGAGCAAAATTCTCTGTGATATACAGTAGGTCCTTGTTGGTTATCCATTTTAAATATAGCAGTGTGTACATGTCAATCCCCAAATCCCTAACTATCTGTCCCCCCAACCCTTCCCCTCTGGTAACCATAAGTTCATTCTCTAAGTCTGTTAGTCTGTTTAAATAGAAATATAGATCAATGGAACAGGATAGAAAGCCCAGAAATAAACTCATGCACCTATGGTCAATTGATCTACGACAAAAGAGGCAAGACTATACAATGGAGGAAAGACAGTCTCTTCAATAAATGATGCTGGGAAAATTGGATAGCTACATGTGAAAAAATGAAATTAGAACATTCTTTAGCACCATACACAGAAATAAATTCAAAATGGATTAAAGACCTAAATATGAGACTGGAAACTATAAAACTCTTAGAGGAAAACATAGGCAGAACACTCTCTGACATATCACAACAATATAATTTTTGATCCATCTCCCAGAGTAATGGAAATAAAAACAAAAATAAACAAATGGGACCTAATTAAACTCAAAAGCTTTTGCATAGCAAAGGAAATGATAAATAAAATGAAAATAAAAATACAACCCACAGAATGGGAGAAAATATATGCAAATGATGTGACCAACAAGGGATTAGTCTCCAAAATTTACAAACAGCTCGTGAAGCTTAATATCATCAAAACAAACTGCCTGATCAAAAAATGGGCAGAAGAGCTAAATAGACATTTCTCCAAAGAAGACATACAGATGGACAAAAGGCACATGAAAAGATATTCAACATCACTAATTATTAGAGAAATGCAAATCAAAACTACAATGAGATATCACCTCACACCAATCAGAATGGCTAACATCAAAAAGTCCACAAACAATAAATTCTGGAGAGGGTGTGGGGAGAAGGGAACCCTCCTACACTGTTGGTGGGAATGTAAATTGGTACAGTCACTATGGAGAATAGTATGGATGTTCTGTAAAAACTAAAAATAGAGCTATCACCTGATCCTCCAATCCCACTCCTGGGCATATATCCAAATAAAAACATGGTCCAAAAGTATACATGCACCCCAGTGTTCATTACCGGACTATTTACTATAGCCAAGACATGGAAGCAACTTAAACGTCCATTGACAGAGGAATGGATAAAGATGTAGTATATATATACAGTGGAATAATCCTCAAAAAAGAATGAAATAATGTCATTTGCATCAACATAGATTGACCTAGAGATTATCATACTAAGAAGTGAAGTAAATCAGACAGAGAAAGAGAAGTATCACATGATATTGCTTATACGTGGAATCTAAAAAAAAAATGATACAAATTAACATTTATAAAACAGAAACAGACTCCTATTTACTTTTCAATGTTTTAATAATAGGAAATATGTTCTAAGGAAGAAGCTTATTTTTGTGATATAATTCTATGTATGAGTTTCCAGGCCTAGGTCTCTCATTAATGAGAACGAGTCCTAGTTTATTGTTTGTTACCCCCATCATGTCTCTGATGACATTTCTTTACGAGTGACAAGGACAATTTACTGGCTCCTTAGTTGATTCACAAGGCTGTTGTGAGAATTAATGAGGTGATGTTCTCAAAACATGCACTCCCCTGATAAGAAGCTTCATATAAATAAAAAGTAGTCTTGTACTTAATTACAACTTTGATGTTGTTTGCTTGTCTTGAAATTTGGTTCTCTTTTGATACATGGTAGAAAGAGTAAAATAAACAATAATTTGCAGAGTGTGCTATTTAAGTTCTTCAGCATTTACTTACCTATGATCTTTTCACCAAAATGAATGTGGAATTTATTTGCTTTCTTTTTATATTTCAACTATGCATTGCAAATTTTAAAAAATGAATAGGAAATTCATGACATAGTTCAAAAATGAGATAGAGAGAGATGTGCAGTGAGAAGTCTCCCTCCCATCTGTCCCCATACCTCTCCACCACTCAGTTTTTGTGTATCACTCAAGTATTTCTTCATGCAAATATTAGCAACATGATATATATTCTAAGATTCCTCATTCTTACATAGGAGGGAGCATGATATCCATATTTATGCTGTACCTCATTTTTTTTTTTTTTTTTTTTTTGTGGTACACGGGCCTCTCACTGTTGTGGCCTCTCCTGTTGCAGAGCACAGGCTCCGGACACGCAAGCTCAGCGGCCATGGCTCACGGGCCCAGCCGCTCCACGGCATGTGGGATCTTCCCGGACCGGGGCACGAACCCGTGTCCCCTGCATTGGCAGGCGGACTCTCAACCACTGCGCCACCAGGGAAGCCCTCTTGTACCTCATTTTTTATTCACTTAGTATATCCTGGTGTTCTCTCTACATTAGAACTGAGAGTTTCCTCATACTTTTTGTGATGCAAATTTAGTTTACTTCTTTGTTCTGAAGAACCAAAAAGTTATAGATTCTACTCCCCATGTCATCTTTTACTATATCTCCACTACTATTTCTTATTTGTTTAATTCAACAAATGCTACTGAACTCCCTACTCTGTCTTTATCATTTTTTCTTCCACAGAGCCGTGCCAGAGTTCACCTATTAATTTACAAATAACCCTTCAGAACTGTGGTGATTTAAATGAAGGGATTAAAGAGAATGATGTGGTTTTACCTCTTTAACAAAGCTAGCACAAGAGAAATTTCTTCAAGAATATCTTTAAGAAACTTTAAGGAGTATTTATTTACTTTATTATTTCTTTCAGTCCCTGTTGTTGTCCAAATTTTTAGTTAGAAAGGTGGTAAGAGAGCAAATACAAATGGTGGTCTTGGAATGTTGTTATTTCTTTGCAGATCAGGTGAGGGAGATAAATTCAGTCTAAATATGTCTTCCTAGGACTCTCACTTGTAGAGTAACACAAGTTTAAATTGAATGGCTTAAAGTCCAAGGATATTCCTTTATAAGCAACTGACTAGTTGGAAGCAGGGAAGTGTATGGTAAATAATGCATTTTTGAGAAAGAACTAAATCAGTAGAGAAAGAAATAAAAATAAAAACCCAAGTTCAAAGTCTATCTATTTGTTAATACTTTTTAAAAAATTTTCTAATGATAATGGAAATAAACTAAAGAGGTGTTTGGAGCACTTTATTTGGTAATCTCTTTTTCTACTTTTATAGTGTCCCATGATAGACAAATGAACTCAGTAATTCAAGAGCCATATATAACTTTGTCTATGTGGAATATTTTATTTGGGAATGTACCCACTAGCCAATTGTGTGCATACCTGATGAGCCGGTGATATCCATAGCTTTCAGATTTCTGCACTTGATGACTGTCAATGTCATACGTCCAGCAGTTGGCAAATAACAAAGGGAAAACATGATTTCACCCAGGTCTATACTTTCCTAGAAAGGCAATTGGTAATGTTAGCAATTTCAAATACCAGATAGTGAAAATAAAATATAATAGAGTGAAAAATCGCTTTAGTGGAATATTTGAATGCCACTTTAAATTGTTTTTTTGAGGATACAGATTGCATTGCAGAAAAGCTGTAATAGACAGAGTAAGAAAAAAGAGTATATCCCAATTGCTCATTTGATATATCCACTTGTATTTCTAACAGGAATCTCAAACTTAATACAGTCAAAATCAGACTGCTGATTCTACTCATTCCCAATCATCTTCCGAAACCAATTCCTCTGTCATCTTTCCAAAATCAGGAAATGATATCATAATTCACCCAAAGGCTGTAGGCAAAACCCTAGCAGTCACTTTCATTCTTCTTTTTCTCTCACCCTTAACACATCGAACCCATGTCTTGTCTACATTATCTACAAAACTTATACGGAATTACTGACTTTCTTTTCAGCTCTATTACTGTCATTGAAACCAATATCACTTCTTGCCAGGATTACTTCATTAGTCTCTAAAACTGATCTCGAAAGCAAAGTGATCACTTATGAAATGCAAATCACATTATTTCACTTTCCTGCTTAAAACCATCTAAAGGCTCACAACTATATTGGAATAAAATTCAAATTCTTTACCTAGGCATATAAATGGGATAATTATAAATCCTGGTAATCTAAGAAATTCCAGATTTATACCTACTGTCCTGATATAATTATTAAGAATGAATATTTCCATTATTAAATATGTCTTTGTTTAGATAATGCATTACAAAGTCATACATATAAGGAGGCCCCATGTGATCTGGACCCACCTATCACTCTATTAATCTCTTGCCTCTCCCTCAGCTCACTCTTATGCAGGCACAAAATATTTTTTTTCTGTTATTCAATCAAATGACATTTGTTCCTGCTTTTGACCTTTGCATTTTCTTTTTGTCTCTCATATCTTTACATACCTGACTCCTCCTCACCATTTAGGACTCAGCTTAAAAAGCGTCTCTTCAGTGAGACCTTCCCTCTTCCTATCTTATACCCACCTCATTCACATATCCTTCACATTTTTTTTATAGCACTTCTCATCACCAGAAATTATCTTTTACATTTAGTTTTTGTTTCCCCAATTCCAATATATAAGGTCTAGGAGAGCACGGTTCTTATCTGTCTTATTTTTACATCTTAATGAAGGTACATAGCTGGCTCTCAGTGCAGTTTTTGAAGAAATGAAAAGATTATTAATTAATCTGGATAAAAGCTAACCTGCTTTGTTTCATTTGTAAAATAAAACTGTCCACAGTACCCAAGTACAGATAAATTTGCTGTGAGTGGCTGCATAGATGGTGGACAAATGAAAATGAGTGTGAACAATGCACATTTAGGATGCTTCTCAAAGAGCTGTTTAAAGGAATTAAATCAAATTCCTGGCAAGAGCTGGAAGAACTGGGCTCTGGGACTTCAGACTATACTACAAAGTTACAATAATCAAGACAGTATGGTACTAGCACAAAACCAGAAATATAGATCAATGAACAGCACTGAAAGCCCTGACATGACCCCATGCACATACGGTCACCTTATTTTTGATAAAGGAGGCAAGAATATACAATGGAGAAAAGACATCAATAAGTGGTGCTGCAAAAACTGGACAGCTACATGTAGAAGAATGAAATTAGAACACTCCCTAACACTGTACACAAAAATAAACTCAAAATGGATTAAAGACCTAAATGTAAGGCCAGACACTATAAAACACTTAGAGGAAATCATAGGCAGAACACTCTATAACATAAATCACAGCAAGATCCTTTTTGACTCACCTCCTAGAGAAATGGAAATAAAACCAAAAATAAACAAATGGGAATTAATGAAACTTAAAAGCTTTTGCACAGCAAAGGAACACATAAAGAAGATGAAAAGACAACCCTCAGAATGGGAGAAAATATTTGCAAATGAAGTAACTGACAAAGGATTAATCTCCAAAATATACAAGCAGCTCATGCAGCTCAATATCAAAAAAACAAGAAACCCAATCCAAAAATGGGCAGAAGACCTAAACAGACATTTCTCCAAAGAAGATATACAGATTGCCAACAAACACATGAAAGGATGCTCAACATCACTAATCATTAGAGAAATGCATATCAAAACTACAATGAGTTATCACCTCACACCAGTCAGAATGGCCATTATCAAAAAATCTAGAAACAATAAATGCTGGAGAGGGTGTGGAGAAAAGGGAATCCTCTCGCACTGTTGGTGAGAATGTAAATTGATACAACCACTATGGAGAACAGTATGGAGGTTCCTTAAAAAACTAAAAATAAAACTACCATAAGACCCAGAAATCTCACTACTGGGCATATACCCTGAGAAAACCATAATTCAAAAGGACACACGTACCACAATGTTCATTGCAGTTCTACTTACAATAGCCACGACATGGAAGCAACCTAAGTGTCCATTGACAGATGATTGGATAAAGATGATGTGGCACATATATACAATAGAATATTACTCAACCAAAAGAAGAAACGAAACTGAGTTATTTGTAGTGAGGTGGATGGACCTAAAGTCTGTCAAACAGAGTGAATAAGTCAGAAAGAAAAAAACAAATACCATATGCTAACACATATATATGGAATCTTAAAAAAAAATTGTTCTGAAGAATCTATGGGCAGGACAGGAATAAAGATGCAGACATAGAGAATGGACTTGAGGACACAGGAAGGGGGAAGGGTAAGCTGGAACGAAGTGAGAGAGTGGCATGGACATATATACACTACCAAATGTAAAATAGATAGCTAGTGGGAAGCAGCTGCATAGCACAGGGAGATCAGCTTAGTGCTTTGTGACCACCTAGAGGATTTTTTTTTGTAAAAGAAATCTAAGAAGAATGTTTACTTGGTATATCAGTCTATAGCAGTTCAAAACACACATGTGAAATGTAAAGATGGGGAAACTAACAGCACTAGGTCTAGCAAAGGCAGAGATAAATGATAGCTACAAAGACACAAAACATATAAAAAAGAAGCAAATACTGTGTTCTAAAAAGGATAGCAATCTAGAATCATTTTGTATCAAGGGTAACTAACACTAATAACTCCTCAGTAACTTAAAAATGATATTTTATTACAGACTTGAAGAGTAATTGATGGTCAAAATGATGACTGAGTCATCAAACTAGGGAAAATTATCTTATATGTTTTGTTTAAGAAGATAGAGAAGTGTACACTATTTTTTAGAGTTATTTTTATCCAAAACCCTTAAAATGTTTGAAGTGATAATTTTGGCTTAAAATGAGAAACGCTTTGAGTTTCTGAAAATTTTATTTATGGGTAATCTCATTTACTGTAATTCGATATAAAAATGAAATTCCCATATTAACCTTTGAACAACTTTTGTGCCTTTGGGCAAATAATTATTTGAAAGCCTACTATGAAGTCTAGGATATCATGTTTCATAAAATTTCTTTCAAGTAGGACGACTTTTATTTCATTCTTATACACACCAATGTAATTGGTGAAACATTCACAGTGACAATCTTCTGAATCTATACTTGGAAAAAGGGCTCATGAAAAAAATCTAACACTGAGGTTAGGTCAGGCACTATATATTTGATTTCTTCAACCTGGTTCCACAGACATAGAGCTGGGGAGATAAAGATCATTTTCTGATGACTGGCTACAGTCAACTTCACAAACATATTCACAGTTATAAAGTTTTTACATGTACTGTCTCTCCAAAATTAAAATGAAAATCATTGAAAAGATAAATTGATATGCAAATAGTTGCATTACATATCTTATTTCAGAACTAACTGAACAAATAGTGAGATCAAGATATGGAGAGGAGGCAGTTTAAAGGCTCAAAAACTAGTTATTATAATAACCAAGGGAAGCACTCCTGGAGGGAAATAATCATTACATCGGGCTTTGAAGGATTAAAGAGACTGGATTTTACAGGGAAAAAGAGGAATGAAGCTCTATGTGTGTACTATGATTAATACTCAGAAATAAGAAGAGGAAATTTTTGTTGAGAAACATGGATTTTGGTGACCTGTTGGGGGAGGTTTAAGGCTAGATGCAGTTGGCTTGGTGACTTCTCTGGGCAATAGGGATCCAAAGATTTTGGTAACATGAAAGACTGGGAGCTTGGCAGAATGGAAAGGGCATAGGTTCCTGAGTCAGAAAAGCCAGAGTTGAAATCCTATATCTTCCATGTACTACTTCCCAAGCACATGGCAAAAATACATGACCTCCTTTAACTTCAGTTTGATCACAAGTAAAATGGGGATAATAACATCTGCCTCTCAAGGTAGGTTTCATGCATCTAAAGTGCCTGGCATGAACAGACACTCAAAAAAAATAATGATGCTAACGAAAAACATAGTTTAAAAAATGTTTCTTTATTTTGAGTAGGCTATAATAGGATGGAAAAAGACAGAAGAGAGGGACCATTGAAATAAACAGGCATAGGAAGTCGTTGGCTGAAGACAGGTTTGAATTTGGAGATATATTAGGAAGAATCACCAAGACTTATTAAAAAATCTTTAAATGAACAATTGGTTGCCATGGTGACAGCAGTCATCACATCCACCTAGCACCCTAAATGCAGCCTGCCTTCCTCATTTCCTGGTTGGTAAGAAAACAGTTTTTCTCACATCGTTAAATGATACGTTATTGGCTAAAATGAGCTTCTTCATTAAGTTACAAAATTACTTCATGAAATGAAGCTACAGTGAAATGAAGACCCAAAGTGGGTCTTCTGAATTCAAACTACTGTAAGATACTTAATTCTCTCTGACCCACACCTCTCATCCACCTGAGAAAATCATGGAACTTAACCTCAATCAATCCATTTAACCCCATTTGGCCTCAGTTTCTTTGGTATAAAATGAGGGTGTTCAAAGAGATAAACTAGTTTATTTTCCAGCTCTAAAACTTTATAGTCTTAAACACCAGTAAAATGAGGACTAAATAGTATACATAGCTCAGATA